TTCGTATGCTTCGGACGTGCGCGGAGTGAATGCCGTGCGCGCTTCATACAGCGCCGTTCTTCGCTTGTAAGCTTTGACGATGCTCGCAATTCACCTTGCCACTGTGCCGAAGTACTTTCGAGCTTTTTGCTCTTTCTTTTCGCTTCTTTCATGCGCTTCAATTCCGCGTCGGAATTAATGCCGTACGCGCTTCATACAGCGCCGTCATTCGCTTGTAAGCTTTGATGATCCTCGCAATTCCCCTTGTCACTGTGCCGGAATGTTTTCAAGTTTTTTGCTGTTTCTTTTTGCTTTTTCCGCGTTATTCGCCATTCACAACAGAATGAATGCCGTACGCGCTTCATACAGCGCCGTTCTTCGCTTGTAAGCTTTGACGATGCTCGCAATTCACCTTGCCACTGTGCCGAATTACTTTCGAGCTTTTTGCTCTTTCTTTTCGCTTCTTTCTAGTAGCCGTAGCGACTACGTAGTAGTCTAGCGGAGGCCTTAGGCCGATTCGCTGTCCCTCCGTCCGTCCCTCCGTCCGTCTCTCTATCTGTCCACCACGTCGCCGGTTCAATCCCCAGCGCGCGCGTCTTTTTTTTTGCGCGCTTTTTTTTTCTTTTTTTTTCTTCGTATGCTTCATATGCTTCATATGCTTCATATGTATGCTTCATATGCACGTATGCATCTTATGCGATATGCGATATGCAGCGATAGCAGATCGCAAACTTCGACGTTCCAACTTCAACACACGCACTTCACGATACGTGCACACGCATCGTGCACGCACACGCACAAGCATATACTTCATATGCTTGATATGCACATATGCATATTATGCGATGTGCGATGTGCAGCGATAGCAGATCGCAAACTGCGATCTGCAAGCATATGCAATCTGCAAGCAGATGCAGTTTTCTGTTACATTACAGTAATGCCGTACCCGCTTAATACACGCTTCATATGCACATATGCACATATGCACCCATGCTTCATATGCACATGCGCGCAAATGCTTCATATGCAAGCATATGCCACATGCGATGTGCAGCTTCATATGCTTCATATGCTTCATATGCACATATGCACATATGCTTCAGATGCACATATGCACATATGCACATTTGCACGTATGCTTCATATGCACATATGCACATGTGTTTCATATACACGAATGCTTCATATGCAAGCATATGCCACATGCGATGTGCAATCATATGTGATCTGCAAGCATATGCGATGTGCAATCATATGCGATCTGCAAGCATATGCCACATTCGATGTGCAATCATATGCGATCTGCAAGCATATGCCAGATGCGATCTGCAAGCATATGCCACATTCGATGTGCAAGCATATGCGATCTGCAAGCATATGCAATCTGCAAGCATATGCCACATTCCAGGTGCAATCATATGCGATATACAAGCCTATGCGATCTGCAAGCATATGCAATCTGCAAGCAGATGCAGTCTTCTGTTACATTACAGTAATGCCGTACCCGCTTAATACACGCTTCATATGCACATATGCACATATGCACATATGCACCTATGCTTCATATGCACATGCGCACATGTGTTTCATATGCACAAATGCTTCATATGCAAGCATATGCCACATGCGATGTGCAGCTTCATATGCTTCATATGCTTCATATGCTTCATATGCACATATGCACATATGCACATATGCTTCAGATGCACATATGCACATATGCACATATGCTTCATATGCACATATGCACATGTGTTTCATATGCACAAATGCTTCATATGCAAGCATATGCCACATGCGATGTGCAATCTTATGTGATCTACAAGCATATGCGATCTGCAAGCATCTGCGATCTGCAAGCATATGCCACATTCGATGTGCAAGCATATGCGATCTGCAAGCATATGCGATCTGCAAGCATATGCCAGATGCGATCTGCAAGCACATGCCACATTCGATGTGCAAACATATGCGATCTGCAAGCATATGCGATCTGCAAGCATATGCAATCTGCAAGCATGTACCACATTCGATGTGCAAGCATATGCGATATGGAAGCCTATGCGATCATAGCTATGTGCTATGCTACGCTATGCTATGCTACGCTATGCTATGCTAAGCTATGCTAAGCTATGCTACGCTATGCTACGGAGCTACGGCCCACTCGCGCGAACAGCGCGCTCTAGTCTCTCCGTCCTCTGTCCCTCCGTCTGTCCACCAAGTCTTCGGTTCGACCCTCGCCGCGATATTCGCGCAGTTTTTTTCTGTTTTTTTTTTCTCTTAATGCGACCGCAAACGTTTCTTTTTGCGCAATTCCTATTTCATATTTCGTAATTGCGTACTTCGACGCGCGATTTGACCTGCAATTCGCCGCGCGCTTCGTGCTTGGCCGCTTCGCCGCGTGCTTCGTGCACCGGAGTGAATGCCGTACGCGTTTCATGCAGAGCCGTTCTTCGGTTCTGATCCTTGCAAATCTTCTTGTCACTACGCTTGCGTACTTTCCAGCTTTTCTCTCGTTCTTTTCGCCTTTTACGCGGTTTTCGCCGTTTCCGACCTACCGCAGCTTAACGGCTAAATTAGTATACGTTTCCGCTTCGTCGGGTCCGCTTTCATGTCGGATCAGTTGCCTGGTTCGAAACGGCTTCGGCTTGGCTCGCTAGCGGACGGCTTCCGTGGTGGAAGAACACGGGCGTCCGTTGATTTGAGTGCGAGTCGTTCGTCTGAGCAGCAGCAGCAACATGCCGCAGCATCTGCGCAACAGCAGCATGCTGCGCATCAGCGGACAGCCATACGAATCGATCCAACGGGGCCCGCAGAGGACGCTCGCCGGCAACCGGCAGCTGATGCAGATACACAGCTGGAGGGTCACCACCAGGATGCTGACCCTTCTGCTGCGGATGTACGAGAAAGATGGCGGCGCCAGAAAGCTGCGCAGCGTGCAGCAGCTCTTCCTGAGTTACGACTACTGCAGCGGCAGCAGGACGCTGCGCGGCATGCGGCTGCACGTGCTGCCCCGGAGGTGAGGGCGCGGCAGCAGGTGCTTAACACTGCACAACATGCCGCTGCACATGCCGATCCGGAGGTGAGAGCACAGCAGCAGGTGCGGAACACTGCACGGCGCGCAGCTGCACGTGCTGACCCGGAGGTGAGAGCGCAGGAGCAGCTGCGTGATGCAGCTGCTCGTTCTGACCCTGAGGTGAGGGCACGGCAGCAGCAGCGGAACACAGCACAGCATGCAGCTGCCCGTGCTGACCCGGAGGTGAGGGTGCAGCAGCAGCTGCGGAACACTGCCCAGCATGCAGCTGCCCGTGCTGACCCGGAGGTGAGGGCGCGGCAGCAGCTGCGTGACGCTGCACAGCATGCAGCTGCACATGCTGACCCGGAGGTCAGGGCGCAGCAGCAGCTGCGTGACACTGCACGGCATGCAGCTGCACGTCTTGATCCGGAGGTGAGGGCGCTTCAGCAGCAGCCAAACACAGCACAGCATGCGGCTGTGCGGCAGATACAGCAGCATGATCGGCAGGCCGCCCCTAGGGACACCCTATTGGCTCGCATGCACCGGCTCCTGCACTTCATGGACCTTCATCGTGATGCCGCCATTGACTTGCCTGACTTCCTTTTGGCGATTCCAGAGGGCCGCGTGCAGGATCTTCCTGGCGGTCAGTTATCGCCTGACAGGCAGGTACCATACACGGTACAACTGCAATGTGCATCGACCATGGCTGTTGCCTTGCGACGGCGCATGCCTTCCCGAGTCTGTGCTGTGTGCTCCAAAGTGTGCTCGGAGGAGGAGTCGACGGTGCTGTCCTGGATGGAGATCCCCAATGTCGACATTCTGCGTGCAGACGTCATGTGCACGGACGCTGTGCAGCGCTGGGGACATACTGTGGTCTGGCAGCGGATGGCGCGTACGGCTCAGGGAGAAGCACCGCCACCGCCTGATCCGGTCCTGCCAGCTCGGTATCGTGTTAGCCGGGCTGAGCGGGCTGCTGCTGTGGATGACGACGGCGGCAGTGCTAGTGGGGCAGGCAGGCTGGTAGATGATGCAGCGGAAGGAGCATTGGAGATGGGTGGTGATGCTCCGGAGACTGATGATTTAGACGCAGTGGCGGCTGAGCAGCAGCCGCCCGAGCAACTTCCGCCGGACCAACAGCCGCGCGCTCCACGGGTGCTGCCCAGAGCCTGCCTTGACGACCCAGCTAGTGTGGAGGTGCCATACTGCATGCGTTTGGAGCCGGATTTGCCCAACCGCACTATGCTGGTCAGCGACGGTGTTGCAGAGCGGATCTTCATATGCACCACCTGCCACAAGGCCCTGAGTGGTAAGTCAGTTTGTGCTGCATGATGTTCGTCGCATCTATGAGGTATAACTCAGTGCCGCACATTCTGCCTGTGTCTGTTCTGTTCCATTAATCAGCAGCGTGTGCTTGCCTCTCCTGCCTTTGCTGGCCCGCTTTCCTATTGATTCCGTAGTCGTCTCGGACCTACTTGCCCGTGCTTGCCCCTCTCCTACAGCCCGACGAGTTCCCGAAGCTGCCCTGGCGCGCCTGGACCCTGGCGATGTGCCGCGTGTCAACCATCTGGGCGACCCTCTGCCGTTGCCCACTTTCTTGGAGGGGCAGCTTCTGGGCCGCGGCCGCATTATCCAGCAGTTGCTCATAATGTACCTGGCAGACCGACCGCCGGACGTCTTCCCTCGTGCTGTAAAGACTCACGGCATTGGGGTCGTAAATCCTGACCCGAATATGCTGCGAGGACAGCTGCCAGCGCGGGCGTCCGACCTGGCCGGCTCTATCACGGTCGTGTGTGTCGACCAGGTTCACAGCCGGGCGGAGCTGCTGGAACGCATGCGAAAGGCGCCAGGTCTACAGGTGCGAGGGCAGGTCATCGTCGCCTGGGTTCGTTTCTTACAGCACAACGACGAGGAGGAGCTGGCTATCGATGAGGATGCTCTGCAGGAGTACGAGCGCATGGGCTGTGCTGCAGGCGTGCCGGATGAAATCTTGCATGCAGCGCTTGCACCGACGGATCCGGAGGTGGCGAATGTCCTCTGCACCACCTTTCTGCACGATCGCACGGGTGCGGCAGGTGTGCGGCAGTTCCAGGACGTGGTGGAAGCGGCTGTTCGTGATGGCGATCTTGCCGATGCAGCTGCGGCGCCTGACGTGGATCCTGCAGGACCCGTGCAACCAACGCTGGCGGATCCGACCCCGAATGCAGGTGTGTTATTTTGTTACTGTGTTAATGCGAGCTGTTGTGTGCCCTCTGTTTTCGTGTTGCCCTCATACTGCATTTTGAGCACCGGGCAGCCGCTACCGCTGCTGCCCCGTGCGTCAAGAGTGTGCTCCTCTTGTGCTGACTGAGTTCGATGCGCAGCCGGACCCGCTGGATAAGCTGGACTCTTGCAGCACATTCGCCTGTCCTGCTAGTGATGTATTCTACTACTCCGCTGTACAGGGCATGATGCTGGACCGGGGCCACTCACCGCCATCCTGCGTGGACCTGTCGACCAGCCAGTTGAAGGTGCACCAGGTGCGTGCATTCTCTTGCTTGGCTGAGCAAATAATGCTCGACCGCTCGTTTGTAACGCGTTCAAGATGCTTCGATTTCGTTCTTGTCCGGCCTATGCGCACGCCATGCTGCATTTACCGCCGTTGCTGCACCATGCTATCAGTGTGAATTGCATCCTGACCCAGCTTTTGCGCATCTGCTGTCTGCTCATGCAGTCGATCCGGCAGCTGCCACTCTGGACGAACTGGAGCTGATCCTGCCACAGCCGTCGAATGTGGGCGATGATGGCAGCGAAATCGACCGCTTCCCGGGCCGAGTGGAGGACCTTCTGACTGGCCGTGCACGGCTTGCATTTGCAGCTGGTGGCCGTGACAGCCACGTGCTGGATGACCGTCATCCCGCCATCCTCACCCTCTGCTTCCCCCAGTCCTTTCCGTACGGCTTTTCTGGTCAGCGCCCCCGCGGCATGTCTTTTCCGGCGTATTGTCGCCACCTGCTGCACCGCGTGCCACGAACGCAATTCGGCGGCAATCTCATGCTGCTGGCACGCATGTACGACATCTGCGTGCGCCACGAAAGCATGGTGCAAGTGGGCATTACCATGAACATGCGGCCGCATCTTGGCGAGCCAGCAGCGTGTGTGCCGTGTGATGTCATCCGTGCTATGGGCACCATACTGGCACTGCCGTATCGGCACTCGCAGCGGCGGCAGCTGCTTGCGCAGCAGTCGCCGCTGGTTAAGGTGCTGGTGGAGGGGGCCCGCCTCAGTACTCTGCGCCTCGACCTCACAGATGCTTATTACAATGGTGCGCGATCCAAGATGCATGCAGCCGCCCTCACCATTGGCTGGCCCCCGCTGTTCTTCACCGTAAATCCGGCAGATATGCATGCAGCCTGTGCAGTCATGGCCTCCGGACAGGTGTTGGACTTCGACGATGACGGACGACCGCAACATATCCCGAGCACGGTGGAGAAGTGGCGGCGTGTGAAGGATGACCCGTACAGTTGCGCCGCCCTGCTGGTGGCCACCAAGGAGGTTCTGGTGGAGGAGCTCTTCGGCTTCACGCCGGGCGCCATGCAGCAGACGAACCCGCGCTGCTTCTGCGGGCTCACGTTTGAGGTGGCAGTCAAGGTGGAGCAGAGCGGCCGCCTCGCCCTGCACATCCACGGTGTTGCACATGTGGCCGATATGTGGCCGGTATGGCGCTTGTCGCCATGAAGCTGGACGGTCATTCCACCTTCGAGGCGACGTTCGACTGCGCATACCTGCAGGTAGACGCGTTCACAGCGCTATCTGCGGGCGCCGAGCAATCTCCTGAGGCGGCAACCACAGCGGCGGTACTGGTGGAGGCTGAAGAGCAGGAGGGCTACACAGTGACCAACGCCGTGCAGAGCTACGTGCTGCGGGGGGAAGAACTCAGCGGCCTGGACTGCAGCATGTACAACATAGCTTCCAACTATGAGGTCCGACGTGTGCCGCCAGCTCAGCACCCACACCGAGAGCGATTGGGTCTGCAGATCCCGGTGGCAGTTCGATGCTGCAAGCGCACTACCCCAGCCGCACCCATAACTGCCCCTGTGCCTGCCCCTGTGCCTCTGCCGACTGCAGCCCCAGCCCCTCCTCCTGAGCCGCCTGCTCCTACGGTTGCAGCGACACTCGACCAGCCAACGTCTCAGACAGCCACGGAGCTGCCCCGCCTGGTGGCCTTCCACGGCACGCATCCGCTCTACAAAACACATGTCCACATCCGCCTGCCGCGGCCGTGATACGTACAGCTTGGAGGCTCTCTTCCCCGCCGGCCCCGCCCTGGCACCTCTGCTGCGGGCATGGCGCAGTACTACGCGTTTGTCCTGGGTACTTTCAAAGCTCACCGGGGTCAGCCCATCCCCCCTGGGCTGACTGTAAAGGAAGCCTACGACACCTGGTGGGCAGAGCTGGGCACTACCGAGACAGGTCGCTCGTACCAGGCGTATGTATCGGTGCTGCTGGACAACATCGAAGAGGACCACGCTGGGAAAGCCCGCCGTCAGGCGGAGTACAACCAGCGGCGCCGCCAGCACTGTGCGGCAGCGGCAGCAGCCACGCTGCCTGAAGGTGACAGCATGAGCGCTTCGGATGGAGATGCCGACGACGGCATCCGCGGGCATCTCAGGCCTGATCCTGAAACACAGCCGCCGGCCGAGGACCAGCTGGAGCACTTCGTGTACATCCCAGGTCAGGAGTATCCGACGGCTGGCACCGACCTCGCCGCCGTCGCTCTTACGGACCTGTTTGACTGCACCAACGCTGCTGGCGCGTATGCCTATGATGCAGCACGGCGCTGCCGAGCCCCGACCCTAGTGGACGGCCATGGTGCACGCAGCGATCGTTTCAGCCGTCGGATCACACCAGCGGACCTGCCCCTGCTGACTGAAGCGACCAAGCGTCTGAAACAGTATCTCGTTGCAGCAGCAGCCGGCACTGTTGAGGCGGATGGGGGCGCCCACACGGGACTGACAGCCACACCTGAGATGGATACCCCTCATGTCGAGCTGCACCGCCCCACCAGCGGACCCCTGGTCGCCATCGTGCGCATGCCTGGCACTCCTGAGCGGACTGAACAGGCTCGCATGCCCATCTATGTGCACCTCCTCCAGCCGCCCAGCATCGATGACACCATCGAGCTGTTCACGCTTGCCCCCCACCAGGCCGTGCCCTTCATGCTCATGGCTCGGTACTTCGATCGCCGTGATGAACCCAACCCTGGCGACCCGCCGCAGATGCTTGTGGAGGGCAAGCCCGGTACTGGAAAGAGCCAGTTCGTACAAGTGCTCCTGTGATACACCTTCCAGCATGGCTGCCCGCACTGGGCGGCCACCTGCGCCTACTCATGGGCTGCTGCAACTGCCTTCAACACGCCAGTGCATCGCAGCCTCTCTACCCACGCCATGTTTGCCCTATCTGCTGGCAGCAACCGAGCGGACAGCGTCAGGAAAGGCAGCACAGCCAGCCTACAGGTGCATCATAATGTCGGCGATGGTGCGCTCATCATTGACGAGATTGGCATGAACAGCCTGGACCACCTGGGTGCGTGCAACCATTCCTGCACTCGTCACCTGTTGCCCCCACCGCATCTCGCCGGCGACCACCCCGCCGCCACCATCTTCAGCGGCCGTCCCAGCGCCAACACAGGCGACGAGTTCCAGCACCCAAAGCCAGGTGGCCCGCCCCTCTACCGGTACACCGCTGCTGTGGAATGCAACCCTCAGTTCTCGCCCTCTGTCCCAACCGCACAACCTCTGCATGGAGACGAGGACAACGATGGCGACCCTAATGAGGCCGCCGCTGGATCTCAAGGCGGTCAGCAGCAACCCGAAGTAGCAGCACGCCGGCCCCGGGCTGTCCCGCAGACTCAGAGCTGCATACTTGAGGGCTTCCGGGTTTACCGATCCCTGGCTAAGACGGTCTTCTTGCTGGAGAAGCAGCAGCGCCAGGACAGCAGCCCCTCTGGTCGTCGCCTGACAGAGTACGCCTCTATGTTCGGCGGTGAGCCAGCCACCGAGCAGCGCATAGCCGAGATGGTCGACAATCTTAACAGCCGTGCCATCATCGACTTGGCCGACCTGGCACACCTTGAGCCGCGCGTCGTGCTGCAGAGGAATGAACCACGCCACACACTCAATACCCGGCTCATCATGCTGGAGGCACAGCGCAAGAATCAGCGCCTTGTGGTGTGGAATGCGGACCACGTCCCTGTCCAGAAGCGCGGTGCTGCTGTGGAGCCGGCCCTGACACACGTGGAGAAAGCAGTTGCGATGCAGATAAAGGATCACGAGTTTGGCCACACCACCGCCGACACGTGGTACTACCATGGCGCCCGATACATCCTCCTTGATACGACAGCTGCCGATGCCGGAGCGAGCCACAACAATGAGGTGGAAGCCTGCGGCCTGCTTGAGGATGGCCGCGAGCCAGCAGATGACGGCCGTGGCCCTTACCACCGGCTCAAGTACCTTCCAGTGGCCGTCATTGTGCGGCCTATAAACGGCCACATCCCCGGCACCGTGCTGCAGGGCCTTGGAGACTACGCCAGCAGGGGTGGTGCCTTCATCCTGTCACCCCGGACGTCTTGCATTGCCGAGGTGGAGATGCCTGCCGCCGGGTGCGGCACCATCACAAAGCAGATCCGGCGCCTCAACGTACCGCTCGGCGACCGCCAGGCGGTCACCGATTACTTCGTGCAAGGCCGCAGCTTCAAAGACGAGTGCTGGCTGGTGGATCTCGCTGTCCCACCCAACGGCATCAAGCGCGCCACCCTGTATGTGCTGCTGACCCGCTTTAAGACGCTGGACCACGTCCGTCTGCTACGGCCGCTTTATACCATGCTACATGAGCGCAAGAGGATAATCAGACAATTCCTCAGCGCGACTAACCTCGAGCCGGACCTGGCCGCCAACCTGCGCCTACTCAAGCAGGCAGCACATGAGACGGAGCAGCGGTATACGATGGAGTTTGAGCATGCACGACAGCTGGAAGCGCGCTGGGCCCGCCCGGGCCCAGGGCCCAGTCGAGCTGAGTTGAGTTGAGTTGAGTTGAAAACGCGACCCGCCACTGTATGGCGTTAAATGACAGCGTCCGGGGTAAGGGGGGCACCCCGGACGACACGCTCGTTCCCTATGGGAAGGAATGGGGAGCCGCCCACCAATGTGTGGAGCCCCCTGCGGGTCCGACTCCCGCGCGAGCGCATGCTACACTCCGCAATCTTTTTTGAATTTATTCCACCTTCGTCTATCACATGTGAGACCGTGTGTGTGAGACCGTGCTGTTCGCGTGCGTGGGCCGTAGCTCCGCAGCAAGTATAGCAAGTGGCCCTTAGAAGCACATAGCAAGCGGCCCGTAGAAGCACATACTGGTCCGCGCAATGCAGGAAACAGCCATCAGCCAGCAACGGAGCTACGGCCCACTCGCGCGAACAGCGCGCTCTAGTAGCCGTAGCGACTACGTAGTAGTCTAGCGGAGGCCTTAGGCCGAGGCGGCCGTCCGTAGTCGTAGTCCCGATGTTAGACGGACGACGTTTAGTCGTTCCGTCGTCGGGACGGAGACCTTACCCCAACTTTCTGTCTGTCCGTAGCCGTAGCGACTACGTAGTAGTCTAGCGGAGGCCTTAGGCCGATTCGCCGTCCGTCTGTCCATCTGTCCACCTCGCGCCGGTTCAATCCCCGGCGCGCGCGCGTAGCCGTAGTGACTACGTAGTAGTCTAGCGGAGGCCTTAGGCCGATTCGCTGTCGCCGTAGCTCCTACGAAGTAGGAAAGCGGAGGCCTTAGGCCGATTCGCCGTCCGTCCGTCCGTCCGTCTCTCCGTCTGTCTGTCCACCACGTCGCCGGTTTAACCCCCCTCGCGCGCGCGTCTTTTTTTTTGCGCGTTTTTTTTCCCTTTTTTTTCTTTTTTTTTTCTTCGTATATGCTTCATATGCTTCATATGCTTCATATGCTTCATATGCTTCATATGCGCGTATGCTTCATATGCACATCTGCACATATGCACATATGCTTCATCTGCACAAACGCGCAGTTCGACGCGCAATTCAACGTGCAATTCTCTGCGTAATTCAACGCGCACTTTAGCGCACAATACGATGCGCGCTTCACCACGCGCTTCAATCCCGCGTCTGGCTGAGTGCCGTACGCGTTTTATACAGCGCCGTTATTCGCTTGTAAGCTTTGACGATTCTCGCAATTCCCCTTGTCACTGTGCCGAAATACTTTCGAGCTTTTTGCTCTTTCTTTTCGCTTCTTTCGCTTTGACGCGCGCTTTAATTCCGCGTCGGACCGAATGCCGTACACGCTGTATACAGCGCCGTTCTTCGCTTGTAAGCTTTGACCTCCTCGCAATTCCCCTTGTCACTGTGACGAGATACTTCCGAGATTAATGCTCTTTCTTTTCGCTTCTTTCGCTTCGACGCGCGCTTTAATTCCGCGTCGGAATGAATGCCGTACGCGCTGTATACAGCGCCGTTCTTCGCTTGTAAGCTTTGACATCCTCGCAATTCCCTCTGTTACTGTGCCGAAATACGTTCGGTTTTTTGCTCTTTCTTTTCGCTTCTTTTGCTTCGACGCGCGCTTTAATTCCGCGTCGGAATGAATGCCGTACGCATTTTATACAGCGCCGTTCTTCGCTTGTAAGCTTTGACATCCTCGCAATTCCCTCTGTCACTGTGCCGAAATACGTTCGCATTTTTTGCTCTTTCTTTTCGCTTCTTTCGTGTTCTTCGCCATTCACGAGCTGATCTTCTTAACGGCTGAAATACTATACGTTCACCTCGTCGGATCCGCTTTCATGTCGGATCAGTCACCTGCTCCGAAAAGGCTTCGCCTTGGCTCGCTTGCGGACGGCTTCCGTGGTGGAAGGATACGTCCGTTCGCCGATTTGAGTACGGGCCATGCACCTGAGCAGCAGCAGCATGCCGGAGTACAGCAGACAGCCATACAAATAGATCCAGCGGGGCCCGCAGAGGACGGACGCCATCAAATGGCAGCTGCTGTAGATACACAGCTGGAAGGGCAGCACCGGGATGCTGATGCTTCTGCTGCGGAAGTACGGGAGAGATGGCTGCGGCAGAAAGCTGCGCAGCGTGCGGCAGCCCTCCCTGAGCTACGGTTGTTGCAGCGGCAGCAGGACGCTGCGCGGCACGCGGCTGCACGTGTCGACCCGCAGGTGAGGGCACAGCAGCGGCTGCATGACACTGCACAGCGCGCGGCTGCACGTGCCGAGCCGGAGGTGAGGGCGCAGGAACAGCTGCGTAACACTGCGCAGCATGCCGCTGCATGCGCTGACCCGGAGGTGAGGGTGCAGCAGCAGCTGCGTGACGCTGCGCAGCATGCCGCTGCACGTGCTGACCCGGAGGTGAGGGCGCTCCAGCAGCTGCAGAACACAGCACAGCATGCAGCTGCACGTGCTGACCCGGCAGTAAGGGTGCTTCAGCAGCAGCAGAACACAGCACAGCATGCAGCTGCACGTGCCGACCCGGAGGTGAGAGTGCTCCAGCAGCAGCAGAACACAGCACAGCATGCAGCTGCACGTGCTGACCCGGAGGTAAGGGTGCTCCAGCAGCAGCGGAACACAGCACAGCATGCGGCTGCACGCCAGCTGCAGCAGCAGAACCAGCAGGCCGCCCCTAAGGATACAATCTTGGCTCGCATGCACCGTCTCATGCGGTTCACAGACCTCCATCGCGACGAAGCCATCGACCTGCCCGACTTTCTCTTGGCGCTTCCAGAGGGTCGCGTGCAGGATCTTCCTGGCGGCCAGTTGCCGCCTGACAGGCAGGTACCATACACAGTACAGCTGCAGTGTGCATCGACCATGGCTGCTGCCTTGCGCCGGCGCATGCCCTCCCGTGTCTGTGCTGTGTGCTCGGAAGTGTGCTCGGAGGACCAGTCAGTGGTGCTGCCCTGGATGGAGATCCCCAACGTTGACATTTTACGTGCCGACATCATGTGTACGGACGCTGTGCAGCGCTGGGGGCGTACTCTGGTGTGGCGGCGCATGGCGCGTACAGCTCAGGGAGATGCACCACCGCCGCCTGATCCGGTCCTGCCTGCTCGGTATCGTGTTAGCCGGGCTGAGCGTGCTGGTGCTGTGGATAATGACGGCGGCAATGCTAGTGGGGCAGGCAGGTTTGTGGATGATGCGGCGGACGGAGCACTGGACGTGGATGCTGGTGCTCAGGAGACTGGCGATCCGGATTTGACGACGGCTGAGCAGCAGCCCGAGCCCGAGCCCGAGCCCCAGCAGCTTCCACCGGATCAACAGCCGCGCCCCCCGCGGGTGCTGCCCAGAGCCTGCCTGGACGACCCCGCTAGTGTGGAGGTGCCGTACTGCATGCGTCTGGAGCCGGACCTGCCCAACCGCACTATGCTGGTTGGCGATGGTGCTGCAGAGCGCATATTCGTATGCAACATCTGCCACAAAGCCCTTAGCGGTGAGTCAGTCTGTGCTGCATGCTGTTCGCTGTGTCTATGAGTTAAACTTCTTCTCCGTTAAAATCCGTTAAACTTCTTCTTCTTGCTCCGTTCGTCCGCAGCATGTACTTCTTTCTCCTACCTTTGCTGTCCACATTCGTACTGATTTCCTAGTCGTCTCAGCCCTGCTTGTCCATGTTTGCTCCTCTCCTACAGCTCGACGAGTCCCCGAAGCTGCACTGGTGCGCCTGGACCCTGGCGATGTGCCGCGCGTCAATCATCTGGGCGACCCTCTGCCGTCGCCCACTTTCTTGGAGGGGCAGCTTCTGGGCCGTGGCCACATCGTCCAGCAGTTGCTCATCATGTACCTGACAGACCGACCGCCGGATGTCTTCCCGCGTGCTGTAAAGACCCACGGCATTGGGGTCATTAATCCTGACCCAAATATGCTGCGAGGACAGCTGCCGGCGGGGGCGTCCGACCTGGCCGGCGCTATCACAGTTGTGTGTGTCGACCAGGTTCGCAGCCGGGCGGAGCTGCTGGAACGCGTGCGAAAGGCGCCAGGTCTACAGGTGCGAGGACAGGTCATCGTCGCCTGGGTCCGTTTCTTGCAGCACAATGACGAGGAGGAGCTGGCTATTGATGAGGATGCTCTGCAGGAGTACGAGCGCATGGGCTGTGCTGCAGGTGTGCCGGACGAAATCTTGCATGCCGCCCTTGCACCGACGGATCCGGAGGTGGCGAACATTCTCCGCACCACCTTCCTGCACGACCGCACGGGTGCGGCAGGTGTGCGGCAGTTCCAGGACGTGGTGGAAGCGGCTGTTCGTGATGGCAATCTTGCCGATGCAGCTGCGGCACCTGTCGTGGATACTGCAGGGCCGGTGCAACCTACACCGGCGGATCCGACCCCGAATGCAGGTGTGTTATTTTGTTACTTTGCTTCATGCCAGCTGTTGTGTGCCCTCTGTTTTCGTGTTGCCCTCGTACTGCACTTTCTGCACCGGACAGCCACTACCGCCGCTGTCCCGTGCATCAAGAGGGTGCTCCTCTTGTGCTGACGGATCTTGATGCACAGCCTGACCACCTGGATAAGCTGGATTCCTGCATCACCCTTGCCTGTCCCGCTAGTGCTGTATCCTATTACTCCTCCGTGTATGTTCTTGAGTGCAGGACAAGACCCTGGGCCAGGGCCATTCACCGCCATCCTGCGTGAACCTGTCGACCAGCCAGTTGAAGGTGCGCCAGGTGCATGCATTCTCTTGCTTGGCTGAGCATGGGGCTAAACGCGTCCTCACTCGTTTGTGGTGTGTTTGAGGCGCTTCGATTTCACTTCCGTCTGGCATATGTACACGCCACACTGTGTTTACGGCCGTTGATGCGCCATGCTAACACATCGCATGACTTGCCAGATCATGCATCCTGACCCAGCTCTTGCACATCTGTCGTCTGATCCTGCAGTCGATCCGGCAGCTGCCACTCTGGACGAGCTGGAGCTGATCCTGCCACAGCCGTCGAATGTGGGCGATGATGGCAGCGAAATTGACCGCTTCCCGGGCCGAGTGGAGGACCTTCTGACTGGCCGCGCACGGCTTGCGTTTGTGGCTGGTGGCCGTGACAGCCACGTGCTGGATGACCGTCATCCCGCCATCCTCACCCTTTGCTTCCCCCAGTCCTTCCCGTACGGCTTTTCTGGTCAGCGCCCCCGCGGCATGTCTTTTCCGGCGTATTGTCGCCACCTGCTGCACCGCGTGCCGCGGACACAATTCGGCGGCAATCTCATGCTGCTGGCACGCATGTACGACATCTGCGTGCGCCACGAAAGCATGGCGCAAGTGGGCATCACCATGAACATGCGGCCGCATCTTGGCGAACCAGCGGCGTGTGTGCCGCGTGATGTAATCCGTGCTATGGGCACCATACTGGCGCTGCCGTATCGGCACTCACAGCGGCGGCAGCTGCTTGCGCAGCAGTCGCCGCTGGTTAAGGCGCTGGTGGAGGGGGCCCGCCTCAGTACTCTGCGCCTCGACCTCACAGACGCGTATTACAACGGTGCCCGATCCAAGATGCGTGCAGCCGCCCTCACCATTGGCTGGCCCCCGCTGTTCTTCACCGTAAATCCGGCAGATATGCATGCAGCCTGTGCAGTCGTGGCCTCCGGACAGGTGTTGGACTTCGATGATGACGGACGACCGCAACATATCCCGAGCACGGTGGAGAAGTGGCGGCGTGTGAAGGATGACCCGTACAGTTGTGCCGCCCTGCTGGTGGCCACCAAGGAGGTTCTGGTGGAGGAGCTCTTCGGCTTCGCGCCGGGCGCCATGCAGCAGACCAACCCGCGCTGCTTCTGTGGGCTCATGTTTGAGGTGGCGGTCAAGGTGGAGCAGAGCGGCCGCCTCGCCCTGCACATCCACGGTGTTGCGCATGTGGCCACGTTCGCAGTCGAGCGCCTTCAGGCGCTGTTCAGTGGACCCAACTGCCGAGCGCTGGCCCTGGCATACACCCTGTGCGCCATGTGGTACCCCTCGCCGTACTATGACCCTTTCACCCACGGTGCAGAACACTACATCATGGACATGACCGTCGAAGAGGTCCAGCAGCATGGCCGTGCACCTCCGCCCGTGGACAAGTCCTGCCCGCCTGCAGCATACGATTTTGGCAGGCTCGCCGGCTGTGCAGGTGGCGGACTCCCGCCGCCTCCCCGGCACGCTGCTTGCCGTGCGCACCACGCGGCCGTCATTCGCAGCACGCTTACTCATACACATAACGACACGTGCAAGCGACACGGCTGCCGTGGCACAGATGATAGCTGTGGCATGGCGTTCCCTCGTGTCCTGCGCAGCGCCTTCCAGTGGATTGGCACCGGCGGCCTCTTCCTTCTGCCACGATTGGGCCCGAACATTGTACCGCACATGCCAGCTGCAGCGCTGGCGTTTGGGTGCAACCAGCTGTTTACTCTGGCGTGCGAGGTGGATCGCGTCTACACGGCAGAGGCAGCAGCGCAACTGGCCCGCCCTGAAGATGAACGGGGGGACTGTGTGCCGCTGCAGCCTGCTGCTGACCGCGCCCGCGACTCTGCCTACTACAGCACGAAGTACACTGGCAAGAGCATCAACGACAGCCAGGCGCAGCTGACATGCAACGCTCTTACCCGAGTACAGGACTTCCTGCTGGCTGGAAGGACGCCGAATCCGGGTGCCAGTGGGCCCACCGCCTTTGGCAACATGTGTGCCACTGTGCATCGCATGACCGCTGCCGTTACGGCTGGTATGGCGCTTGTCGCCATGAAGCTGGACGGTCATTCCACCTTCGAGGCGACGTTCGAGTGCGCATACCTGCAGGTAGACGCGTTCACAGCGCTATCTGCGGGCGCCGAGCAATCTCCTGAGGCGGCGACCACAGCAGCAGTACTGGTGGAGGCTGAGGAGCAGGAGGGCTGCACGGTGACCAACGCCGTGCATAACTACATGCTGCGGGGGGAAGAACTCAGCGGCCTGGACTGCAGTGTGTACAACATAGCCTCTAACTATGAGGTTCGACGTGTGCCGCCAGCTCAGCACCCGCACCGAGAGCGATTGGGTCTACAGATCCTGGTGGCAGTTCGACGCCGCAAGCGCACTACCCCGGCCACACCCATAACCGCCCCTGTGCCTGCCCCTGTGCCTCTGCTGACTGCAGCTCCGGCCCCTCCTCCTGAGCCACCTGCTCCTATAGCTGCAGCGACACTCGACCAGCCAACATCTCAGACAGCCACGGAGCTGCCCCGCCTGGTGGCCTTCCACGGCACACATCCGCTGTACAGAACACATGTCCACATCCGCCTGCCGCGGCCGCGATACGTACAGCTTGGAGGCTCTCTTCCCTGCCGGCCCCGCCCTGGCACCTCTGCTGCGGGCATGGCGCAGTACTACGCATTTGTCCTGGGTACTTTCAAAGCTCACCGGGGTCAGCCCATCCCCCCTGGTCTGAGTGTAAAGGAAGCCTACGACACCTGGTGGGCAGAGCTGGGCACTACCGAGGCAGGTCGCTCGTACCAGGCGTATGTATCGGTGCTGCTGGACAACATCGAAGAGGACCACGCTGGGAAAGCCCGCCGTCAGGCGGAGTACAACCAGCGGCGCCGCCAGCAGCGTGCGGCAGCGGCAGCAGCCGCGCTGCCTGAAGGTGACAGCACAAGCACTTCGGATGGAGATACCGATGACGGCATCCGCGGGCATCTCAGGCCTGATCCTGAAACACAGCCGCCTGCCGAGGACCAGTTGGAGCACTTCGTGTACATCCCAGGTCAGGAGTATCCGACGGCTGGCACCGACCTCGCCGCCGTCGCTCTTACGGACCTGTTTGACTGCACCAATGCTGCTGGCGTGTATGCCTATGATGCAGCACGGCGCTGCCGAGCCCCGGCCCTAGTGGACGGCCATGGTGCACGCAGCAATAGTTTCAGCCGTCGGATCACACCAGCGGACCTGCCCCTCCTGACTGAAGCGACCAAGCGTCTGAAGCGGTATCTCGTTGCAGCAGCAGCTGGCACTGTTGAGGCGGATGGGGGCGCCCACACGGGACTGACGGCCACACCTGAGATGGACACCCCTCATGTCGAGCTGCACCGCCCCACCAGCGGACCCCTGGTCGCCATCGTGCGCGTGCCTGGCACTCCTGAGCGGACTGAACAGGCTCGCATGCCCCTCTATGTGCACCTCCCCCAGCCGCCCAGCATTGATGACACCATCGAGCTGTTCACGCTTGCCCCCCACCAGGCCGTGCCCTTCATGCTCATGGCTCGGTACTTCGATCGCCGCGGTGAGCCCAACCCTGGCGACCCGCCGCAGATGCTTGTGGAGGGCAAGCCCGGTACCGGAAAGAGCCAGTTCGTACAAGCGCTCCTCTGGTACACCTTCCAGCATGGCTGCCCGCACTGGGCGGCCACCTGCGCCTACTCATGGGCTGCTGCAACTGCCTTCAACACGCCGGTGCATCGCAGCCTCTCTACCCACGCCATGTTTGCCCTATCTGCTGGCAGCAACCGAGCGGACAGCGTCAGGAAAGGCAGCGCAGCCAGCCTACAGGTGCATCGTAATGTCGGCGATGGTGCGCTCATTATTGACGAGATTTGCATGAACAGCCTGGACCACCTGGGTGCGTGCAACCAGTCCTGCACTCGTCACCTGTTGCCGCCACCGCATCTCACCGGCAACCACCCCGCCGCCACCATCTTCAGCGGCCGTCCCAGCGCCAACACAGGCGACGAGTTCCAGCACCCAAAGCCAGGTGGGCCGCCCCTCTACCGGTACGCCGCTGCTGTGGAATGCAACCCCCAGTTCTCACCCTCTGTCCCGACCGCACAACCTCTGCACGGAGAGGAGGACAACGATGGCGACCCTAATGAGGCCGCCGCTGGATCTCAAGGCGGTCAGCAGCAACCCGAAGTAGCAGCACGCCGGCCCCGGGCCGTCCCGCAGACTCAGAGCTGCATACTCGAGGGCTTCCGGGTTTACCGATCCCTGGCTAAGACGGTCTTCTTGCTGGAGAAGCAGCAGCGCCAGGACAGCAGCCCCTCTGGTCGTCGCCTGACAGAGTACGCCTCTATGTTCGGCGGTGAGCCAGCCACCGAGCAGCGCATAGCCGAGATGGTCGACGACCTCAACAGCCGCGCCGTTATCGACTTGGCCGACCTGGCACACCTCGAGCCGCGCGTCGTGCTGCAGAGGAACGAACCACGCCACACACTCAACACCCGGCTCATCATGCTGGAGGCACAGCGCAAGAATCAGCGCCTTGTGGTGTGGAATGCGGACCACGTCCCTGTCCAGAAGCGCGGTGCTGCTGTGGAGCCGGCCCTAACACACGTGGAGAAAGCAGTTGCGATGCGGATCAAGGATCACGAGTTTGGCCACACCACCGCCGACACGTGGTACTACCATGGCGCCCGATACATCTTCCTTGATACGACAGCTGCCGATGCCGGGGCGAGCCACAACAACGAGGTGGAAGCCTGCGGCCTGCTTGAGGATGGCCGCGAGCCAGCAGATGACGGCCATGGCCCCTACCGCCGGCTCAAGTACCTTCCAGCGGCCGTCATTGTGCGGCCTATAAGCGGCCACATCCCCGGCACCGTGCTGCAGGGCCTTGGAGACTACGCCAGCAGGGGTGGTGCCTTCATCCTGTCGCCCCGGGCGTCTTGCATTGCCGAGGTGGAGATGCCTGCCGCCGGGTGTGGCACCATCACAAAGCAGATCCGGCGCCTCAACGTACCGCTCGGCGACCGCCAGGCGGTCACCGATTACTTCGTGCAAGGCCGCAGCTTCAAAGACGAGTGCTGGCTGGTGGATCTCGCTGTCCCACCCAACGGCATCAAGCGTGCCACCCTGTATGTGCTGCTAACCCGCTTCAAGACGCTGGACCACGTCCGCCTGCTCCGGCCGCTCTACACTACACCGCACGAGCGCAAGAGGATAATCAAGCAGTTCCTCAGCGCGACTAACCTTGAGCCGGACCTCGCCGCCAACCTGCGCCTGCTGAAGCAGGCAGCACGTGAGACGGAGCAGCGATATACGGCCGAGTTTGAGCATGCGCGACAGCTGGAAGAGCGCTGGACCTGCCCGGCCCAGGGCTAGTTGAGTTGAGTTGAGTTGAGTTGAGTTGAGTTGAAGCTGCGACCCGCCACTGTACGGCGTTAAATGACAGCGTCCGGGGTAAGGGGGACACCCCGGACGACACGCTCGCTCCCTACGGGAAGGAATGGGGAGCCGCCCACCAATGTGTGGAGCCCCCTGCGGGTTCGACTCCCGCGCGAGCGCTTCACAGGCTAAATTTGCGTGCTAGACTCCGCGAGCTTCATTTTCTTCCGCCTTCGTATAATTTACTTCTTCTGTGTAAAACCATGTAAAACCATGTGCTGTTCGCGCGAATGGGCCGTAACTCCGTGTAAAACCATAGCCGTGTGTGTGTGTAGCCGTGCTGTTCGCGCGAATGGGCCGTAACTCCGCAGCAAGTAGCAAGCGACCCTTAGAAGCACGGCACATACTGCTCCGCGCAATGCAGGAATCAGCCAGCAATGGAGCTACGGCCCACTCGCGCGAACAGCGCACTCTAGTCCCTCCGTCCGTCCCTCCGTCCGTCTCTCTATCTGTCCACCACGTCGCCGGTTCAATCCCCAGCGCGCGCGCGTCTTTTTTTTGCGCGCTTTTTTTCTTTTTTTTTCTTCGTATGCTTCATATGCTTCATATGCTTCATATGCTTCGTATGCTTCGTGTGCTTCATATGCTTCATATGCACATATGCGTCTTATGCGATATGCGATATGCAGCGCTAGCAGATGGCAAACTTCAACGTGCAGACTTCAACACACACACTTCACCATACGTGCATACGCACATATGCTTCGTATGCTTCGTATGCTTCGGACGTGCACGGAGTGAATGCCGTGCGCGCTTCATACAGCGCCGTTCTTCGCTTGTAAGCTTTGACGATGCTCGCAATTCACCTTGCCACTGTGCCGAAGTACTTTCGAGCTTTTTGCTCTTTCTTTTCGCTTCTTTCATGCGCTTCAATTCCGCGTCGGAATTAATGCCGTACGCGCTTCATACAGCGCCGTCATTCGCTTGTAAGCTTTGACGTAGCCGTAGCGACTACGTAGTAGTCTAGCGGAGGCCTTAGGCCGATTCGCTGTCCCTCCGTCCGTCCCTCCGTAGCCGTAGCGACTACGTAGCCGTAGCGACTACGAAGTAGTCTAGCGGAGGCCTTAGGCCGATTCGCTGTCCCTCCGTCCGTCCCTCCGTCCGTCTCTCTATCTGTCCACCACGTCGCCGGTTCAATCCCCAGCGCGCGCGCGTCTTTTTTTTGCGCGCTTTTTTTCTTTTTTTTTCTTCGTATGCTTCATATGCTTCATATGCTTCATATGCTTCGTATGCTTCGTGTGCTTCATATGCTTCATATGCACATATGCGTCTTATGCGATATGCGATATGCAGCGCTAGCAGATGGCAAACTTCAACGTGCAGACTTCAACACACACACTTCACCATACGTGCATACACACATATGCTTCGTATGCTTCGTATGCTTCGGACGTGCACGGAGTGAATGCCGTGCGCGCTTCATACAGCGCCGTTCTTCGCTTGTAAGCTTTGACGATGCTCGCAATTCACCTTGCCACTGTGCCGAAGTACTTTCGAGCTTTTTGCTCTTTCTTTTCGCTTCTTTCATGCGCTTCAATTCCGCGTCGGAATTAATGCCGTACGCGCTTCATACAGCGCCGTCATTCGCTTGTAAGCTTTGACGATCCTCGCAATTCCCCTTGTCACTGTGCCGGAATGTTTTCAAGTTTTTTGCTGTTTCTTTTTGCTTTTTCCGCGTTATTCGCCATTCACAACAGAATGAATGCCGTACGCGCTTCATACAGCGCCGTTCTTCGCTTGTAAGCTTTGATGATGCTCGCAATTCACCTTGCCACTGTGCCGAATTACTTTCGAGCTTTTTGCTCTTTCTTTTCGCTTCTTTCGCGCGCTTCGATTCCGCGTCGGAATTAATGCCGTACGCGCTTCATACAGCGCCGTTCTTCGCTTGTGAGCTTTGACGATTCTCGCAATTCCCCTTGTCACTGTGCCGGAATATTTTCAAGTTTTTTGCTCTTTCTTTTTGCTTTTTTCGCGTTCTTCGCCGTTCACAACCTCGTATCCTTAACGGCTTAATTAGTATACGTGCTCGCTTCGCCGGGTCCGCCTTCATGTCGGATCAGTCGCCTGCTTCGAAACGGCTCCGGTTGGGCTCGCTTGCGGACGGCTTCCGCAGTGGTGGAAGAATACGTCCGTTCGCTGATTTGAGTACGGGCCGTGCAGCTGAGCAGCAGCAGCATGCCGCAGCACAGCAGACAGCCATGCAAATAAATTCAGCGGGGCCCGCAGAGGCAGCTGCTGCAGATACACAGCTGGAGGGGCAGCACCAGGGTGCTGATGCTTCTGCTGCAGAAGTACGGGAGAGATGGCGGCGGCAGAAAGCTGCACAGCGTGCGGCAGCCCTTCCTGAACTACGGTTGTGGCTTGCCGCCGGCCCCTATCGCCAGCTCAAGTACCTTCCAGCGGCCGTCATTGTGCGGCCTATAAGCGGCCACATCCCCGGCACCGTGCTGCAGGGCCTTGCAGACTACGCCAGCAGGGGTGGTGCCTTCATCCTGTCACCCCGGGCGTCTTGCATTGCCGAGGTCGACATGCCTGCCGCCGGGTACGGCACCATCACAAAGCAGATCCGGCGCCTCAACGTACCGCTCGGCGACCGCCAGGCGGTCACCGATTACTTCGTGCAAGGCCGCAGCTTCAAAGACGAGTGCTGGCTGGTGGATCTCGCTGTCCCACCCAACGGCATCAAGCGCGCCACCCTGTATGTGCTGCTGACCCGCTTCAAGACGCTGGACCACGTCCGTCTGCTCCGGCCGCTCTACACTACACCGCACGAGCGCAAGAGGATAATCAAGCAGTTCCTCAGCGCGACTAACCTCGAGCCGGACCTGGCCGCCAACCTGCGCCTGCTGAAGCAGGCAGCGCGCGACACGGAGCACCGATATACGGCCGAGTTCCAGCATGCGCGACAGCTGGAAGCGCGCTGGACCCCCTCGGCCCAGAGCTAGTTGAGTTGAGTCGAGTTGAATTGAGTTGAAACCGCGACCCGCCACTGTACGGCGTTAAATGACAGCGTCCGGGGTAAGGGGGACACCCCGGACGACACGCTCGCTCCCTACGGGAAGGAATGGGGAGCCGCCCACCGCTCTGTTCCGCACGCCGCTTTGTTCCTAGCTTTGTAGTGTGCACGTGTCGAACTTTGTTTTGTGCACGTCTCCGGCTGATCTTTGGGTGCTAATCGTGCCTTGCTCTTCGGCAGCCGCGGATAATTACGGCCCAGCGAGATGCTGGTCCATTGACTGCATCAGCTGCCAGCACTGTTCTGTTCTTGCGGACTTTAGTTTGTTCCTTGGACCTTGCTGTACTTTGTGTTGTGGGCTTTGCAGTTCTGTATTTGTACCGTGCTGCTCTTTACGCAACTCCTGGGCTTTGCGCAATACAGTTCCTTGTGCATCTGGCTTCGCAAGTTGAGCTTCGCATGTTGGGCTTTGTGTGTTCGGCTGCGCGTTCGACTTAACAATTAAGAACCTCCGTACTAAGCCGAGCTCGTAATGACTCGCAATTCGACCCAACCGACTGCAACTGTCGCGCCTCGGCTTTGCGGTCCTATTTCTGCAATCTAAGCTTTATGAGCATAGCTTTGTTCCGTATTCGACTTTGCACGTTCAACCGCGCATGTTCGCGGGAGTCGGTATCGGCCTATTGCAAGCATGCGCCAAGGTTCACACAAGGTTGGTTGCACCTGGCGAATGAAATCCGATCGGGTCGTGCGAACAAATTTGCATCACCTCAAGGTTGCGCAGGCGTACGTGCGCTGTAAAAAGTATAACACCCAGGCTGCAATGTAGAGCATTATGTCAATCAATTACGACTTCTGCCTGCTGCAACTTTTACGTTCCTCTCGCCAACATGGGACCCAAGTGAGTTGCTCGTCGCTGCGCCCGCTGTTTACCATTAAGTAGTCGGTACTCGCTATTTACTGCGTTCGTTATACCGCAGGCGCCTTGCCACTATAGATCCGCCTTCTCTGCCGCCGGCAAAACAGCCGCACCAGGAGACAACCACGCCGGGAAGCACGCCTGAAGCCACCGGGAGTTCGGCATCAACCGCAACTCCGACTAGCCCTGCTTCGTGCAGTGCCCCCGCTTCGAGGTAAGGCTTAGACGTTGCAATCGAGCTCGACGCTATATGTGTTTCGTTTTGCGGTTGTGTTTGAGTCTCTGCGCTTCGTGCAGTGCTCGTGCTTCGAGGTGAGACTTAGATGTTGTAGCCGGGCTCCTTGCGAGCCGTGCTTCGTTGTGCGTTTGCGTTCGCGGCTGTGCCTCTGTCTTGAAGTGTCTGTAATATAATCTCGCCTTGTACACATTTGATGCATTGGCTTGGCCGACTACCGGCTGTGTGATTCGACTGTCGCGTTTGGTCGTTGTGGACTTCATGCGTGAACGGCGCGGCCTGCTCTGCACTGAAATGTGGTGGACGTCTTAGATGTCGTTCATTTGCTGTTTGTGCCGCTTGGATCCGGTACTTCCGTTCTGCTCCCTTTATACGAATCTTGTACTGCTCGACCCGCCAATATAGTCTTCTTTACGTGAGCGCAAATTGCTCTGCTAGCACAACTTAAATACCTACATCTTTCTCTGTCCGTCCGTCTGTGAATAAAAATATCCTATTTCGGCGCTATTGCTAGCGTGTATATGTCTTATACGTTTTCTGTCTTGTAGCTTTACTTCAAGCTCGTACCTTTAATGTCGCCCATCCGATGTACGACCCCGACAGTATCTCGGTAAGCTTCCAGCTTACCTTTACGGCCGGGCCCGTGCAAGTCGGCGTCGGCCGCCTGTGGAGCGGGCTGAGGTGCAACACTGCGACGATCGTGGGTGGCCCGGCAGCAAACGGTATTGTCCTCGTTCAGACTGACGGTGCTATCCTAGCTAGTCTCCAGGCAAATAAGTGCTATGGATCCGTAGTAGACCTTACGCACGTTCAGTCGGCAATTTTGCCGCCTCACGTCGTCAGTCGCTTCGCTGGCGTTTTGGTAACCACTTTTAAGACCACCAGCATGAGCGAACTGAAATATACTCAAGCTAGGCGCATGTGGAGTACCCTTACGGCCCGCCTGCGGTTCCCTGCTTTGAACCCGTATGTGAAACCGCCGTTAAATGAGGCCAACTATCCAAACGACGGCAGCGCGCTGCTTGTTTTGCCGTTTGGGGAACCCTTCGTCAGCGGGCCGTTCCAAAAGATCAGCGCATACGTAGCTTGTACTGATGTAAACGACGTCCGAGTTGGGGAGGTTCACCTTGCGTACGATCCGGAAACCCCGCCGGTTTATTGCCATCTTGTCAGCGATGCCGGCAGCAGCAGCATTCCGCTCTACCTTTTTGGTGCCAAAATAAGTGGCGCTAATTCGCAGTATAAGCCAACCGTGTGGATAAACGGCACGCTCACTGCTGCGGCAGTCCGACCCGGTCAGGACATACGCAGTTTCCCTGCTCATGTGCGCGCGTTCATCAGCGCTACGCAGCAGCATGCGCAGCAGTCGGCAGTCTCGGAGACTAGCAGCATGTTGTTGGCATGGGAGCAGCGTGAGTGGCCTGGGAGTATCACGACCCTGCCGCAGGACGGCGCGCATGCTCGCGCTAGCCTGTCTCCCAACCCTAGCGTTAGCTGCGTCGTCAACGACCATAAAGTTCTGCCGCTTGTATTGACGGTAAATCAGCGGCAGTACCCGGTATGCAGCGACAGCCCGGATGTGTTGCGCCAGCTCCCTGGATTCGACGCTTTCTTTACGGACCTGCCGTATGATGACGTCGAACTCCGGTCCGCGTTTTGTGCGTCACGGTCATTCAGCATCGTCGGCACAGCAACTACTCATACCATCGGGCGCACCACTTTTGTCGTCGCCTTCCAACAATAGCTGTAGCGTGTATGGCGTCTACACTGCGGGTTCGACTCTGATATTTGCGGGCTGTGCAGGCCGGATGCATGTCGGATATTGTATTTCGACCTTCTTTTTGTTTTTTACATGTGTGTGGACGCGCAGTTGACGCTCTTTGGTTTGGCTGTTGCTCTTTTATGCCTGTTTTTTTGTTTCCTGCTTGACTTACTGTCTGCGGATTTGCTGACGGCGTGAAGCGTTGTAGTTGTCGCGCCTAGTTTTTGACGATTCTATTTGCATTGCTTGATATTCACGGTGTACTCTTCGCTGTTTGGGACTCGTTACGTCCGTTCGAAGGATTGCGGCTTCTGCGCCTTACTTTGTACATTTCGATTTCATGTGTTCGTTCGACTATACGTCTGGATCGTTGCATGCTCCTGCGTTTACCTGCATTTTATAATTTGTCCTGTACGTTGAAATGCAGCGTCGTAAATTGGGCATCTACCTCTTTGGGCATCTACCTCTTTGCGGTCAAACGGGTCACCGGACGCGCCGCCGTCTATGCTTGTTGTTGGTTCCTCGTTCATCTGCGCTTCGACTTGCTTCTGTATGTTTAAGAGACAGGTGTGTCCTGCCTTGTGGAGATGCACTTGTCCGAGTGGGCGACTTGGCAGTCCACGATTTTGTGTAGTTTTAGAGTCTCCATGTTTCGGGTTGTACATCTGGTTGCCGTGTTGCAGCTTACGTGCATGACTCGTTTAAAATATAATGGTGGTAGTTATTTACGTTCATTCCTGTAACCCCGGTATCCGGATGTAGCGTCATATGTTCCATCCGAATACCAGGGTTACAGGCGTCAAAATTGGTATGCCGTGCCAATTTTGACGACACGCTCGATCGGTATACAGCCGTCCTGGCTGCTGGGTTCGACTCCCACACGAGCGCACCGACACTGCTGATGCTGCCTATACGTTCGCACCGTATTGTACCTACTTCGTGTGTTCGCTGCCTCCGCGGATTGTCGTACTTGGCATTTCGCACTTTAACGCCCAACTTTGTTGGGCCGTTCCGTCTGCTTGGCTCGACCCCTTACAACTTGCACTTGCTTTCATCTTTACAGCTCCTGCGCCTAGTCCTTTGCGCCGAATGGCCTCCTACGACATGCTGGTATCTCGATGCCGTGCTTCATTTACGTCTGCTGTACCCTCCGTTTGCGCATGTCATGCCACCCGTGTCCTCCCATCCGATTACCATTCAGACTTCGCATACCACGCCACTAGTGATAACTCGCTCGACCGGGCCTGCTGGGTTCGACTCCCACGCGAGCGTGCCAACACCGACAGAGCGCAACTGTGCTGCACTTTGTGCCTTTCCGGCATTCGCTTTGTCAACTTTGCGCATGTCCAGTTTTGCGCACCGTGCGCGGATTTATTTATGCTACCCGATTTACCTAAGCAGGCTCAATGTGTTCGCAATAGAACGTAAAGCAAATGAACTGTATACCGATTGCAGCTGTTACCAGCCGCCGCCTTGCACTTTGCCCGGAAGGCAGTTTGCGCCGGGCCTTATAGCGCAACTGTGCTGGGCATCATGCCCTTCCGGTTTTCGCTCTGTGCGCGTCTCCAATTTTGTGCATCTCCATTTTTGCGCACCGCGCGCAGATTTATTTGTGCTATCCGAACTACCTAAGCAGGCTCAACTCCTCTTTGTGCGCATCTTCAAAACTGTGTACATCAAGGCTTGCGCGGTGCTGGGTCTTGTGCGTTTATTTCTGTTGCGGCCCCAACTTTGCACCTTCAATTCCTCCGCTTCGAACTTTGCAATTTGTACTTCTGATTATAACGTGTTCGCGGTATAGGGTAAAGCAACTAAACTGTATACCGATTGCAACTATTACCAGCCGCCGACTTGCACTTTGCACGGAGGGCAGTTCGCGCCGGGCCTTATGTGTGGATTTGTGTTGTGGCCCCGACTTTATACGCTATAATTTGCATGTTCGCCTCTGCATATTTCTTTCTTACGGTAACAGCCTGTCCACTTTAGAATTACCGCGTTGGCTCTTCGGTTGCATCCGACTCCGCACGTTAAAACTACTCTTCGCATCTCACCTCCCCTCCCCGGTGCACCGCAACAGCTGCTGCAAAAAGTAAGAGAGACAGAACTGAAAAGCGGAGGGTACATTTAATCCCCTGCTCTGTGTGCTCGTGTCAGCTGGGGGCCCGGGGCTGGGAGGCCCTTATCCCCTCTCCTCCTCCTGCAGCCTCACAAACTTAACTCACTCCCGGTCAAGCTCCAGCCGCCAACGCCATCCGTCCGTACAACAACACACCAACCGGCCAACCAGCCAATTCTTTAACGGGCGCCCTTCCCAAGCCTGAGGAGTTCGAGTTGTATTGTTGTTGCGGTTGGCGGTTGCTGTAACAGCGGCTGAGTGGCGGCCGGCGGCGACAACAGTCGTCCAAATTGAGCAGTTCTAGGAGGTCAGTGCGCCGCCGCCGAACAAACAAACATACATACACATATGCACATACATAGACATGGATGCGTGTATGTGTGTGCGTCCATGTGCGTGTGTGTAAGTGATTCTGACCGACGTGAACGGCAGGGCAGCAAGAGACACACACACACACACAAACCAGTTGCCCCACCGCATCCTACAACAGCTAAGGTCCGCCAGTGCAGCCTCACCGCAAGGAAAGGGGTGAGATGATGCACACTACACTACACCAGACCACACCACACCAGACAAGGAGGTTCAGCAATGCCATGCGACTCAAAACGCCCCTCCTCCCTCAGCTGCCCTGCCCTGGCCCCCATGCCACGCCTTCCGCAACGCACATCATCATTCACACACACACATACCCTGGCTCGCACCACCACCACCAGCATCACCGCCAAGAGCATCCTGTGCTCCCCAACACTCACTCGCCAATTCCTCCCCCCGGCAACATTACCGCGGCCGCAAGGCCCATGCACCCAGGTAACGGTGTCGGTCTCCCTTTCCCGCCTTAACCCGTCTTCCCCTTCCCCGCACCTCTTGCGCAGCCCTAGGAATATCTCTACTCCCAGACTCTAGCCCCCCCTACACTAACAGCTCACATTCATGATTCACCCACACGGCCACCAGACAAGCCACGTATACATCCGCACACGCTTAAAAACAGCTCGTCCACCGCTCGTCCTACTCCCAGTCGTCTACTTGTTCGTACAACTCGAGACGGCTGGCGCCTCTCCCCCGCGCGACACCGCCGCCGCCAATACCACTGCCGCTAACGCCGCCGCTAGGTTGCTGCCCGCCAGCAGCTCCCCCTTCCGCCGCCGCCGCCGCCGCCGGAGGAGCTGCATCGGGACCCCAGGGCCCGCCGTCGGACAAGGAGCCTGCACCGAAACCTCTGTCGTACAGAAACCCCGGTGTCCTCCCATAAGGCCCAAGAGGCCCCGGGGCCCCAGGCCCAGAGCCGTCAAAAGGCTGTGCGGACGTCTGGGACACGCCAGGTGGTGGCGGCGGCGCCGCCGGGCCGGAAAAAGGACCGGCGTACGACGGCCCCGGGCTCCCTGCAGTCGAGCCACTCGTGTCATACCCGCTGCTTTCAGGAGCGCCAGCAGCGCCGTACATGCCACTACCGCCGTACGCGCTGTCGCTACCCTCCCCTATGCGGCTGTACGGATCCCCGGGCGCGCCGTACATTGCCCCCCCGAACGTTACATTGCTGTAACCCCTGCCACTGTACACTGGTTCCTGCTGCTGCTGCATGATGGGATTGCCGTAATAGTCGTATTGGATGGTTTCGCCGTACAGTCCGGTCGCTTGGTCTGATGTCGACGCCGCGGCGTCCGACGGGTTTCCCCATGGGTAGTACGACTCGTTCCCGGGCGGCAGGTACGGCAATCCCGAGCCAGGGGGCGGGAACCCCGGGCCGGCTTGGTAATATTGTTGCTGCTGCTGCTGCTGCTGTTGCGCTGCTGCGGCAGCGGCTTGCTGTAGGAAATCTTGCGGTGCGGCATCTGGCGGTCCGACGCCTGGCGGTAGTTGCGGCGGCGGCTGGACGTGCGGATAAGTGTGGGTTGGGGATAACAGGGACGTTACTTGATGGGGGAGAGGGAGGGCAATCAGGCGAGGGGAAACGGAAACGAACAGGCACGACACATATATGTGGCAAAACACAGTCGTACATCATGCATATATACACTGCCATACACGGCCTCCTGTCCTTAAATCGTCGAATGTTTGGGTGGCAACAACTCTTAAAGGGACGACGATGGACATGCCGTGCATCAAACAAAGTCCAGTGTATGTGTTCGTGTCCCGAAGTAGATGTACATCATGACCGGAAGTGACCACGCGCTCGAAAATTTTCTAAACCATCAACTCCGCCCGGATATCCCCATGACGGTGCTTCTAAATTACCCATCCCCGTTCGCCGAACCGGAACTACCTACCGTATCCGCCTCCTTTGACCGTAGCCGAAACGTCTCCAGCCCATACCAGAAGGCAACCGATGTGGTCAATGCCTGGCAGAGGAGCAGAAGGGGATCCAGGCGCCAACCCTGGAAGATGAGCGTGCTGCCAACAATGCTGACCATCGCCGCCACAACAATATCTGCGTCTCGCGATACCTTGTTTTGGAAATTTCGAAGCTGCAAGGAGCAGGACAACCAAGCTCTTATGGAAGTCATGCCGAAGGCTTAGGCACAGCGGCGATACCTCACATTGAGGAGGAGAACTCCGCACCCAATCAACATGGTACCGAGCAAAAGCGATGGACTTGCAAAATCCACATTAACCATGGCTACAGCTCGCACAACGAGCTGCCTTCCGCTACATCGGTGTCTTCGTGGAAACGCCGACCCTTTCCGCGTGTAAACCCTCATCGGGCAAACAATAGCCTGCGGCATATTTATGCAAGGCATAAGCAACAACCTCTCGTGCACAATCAATTGTTGATACACAATAGGACTTGCCTGTGTCGGCCGCAAAATCGACCTAAGTCCAAGCTGTGCAACGATTACTGGGTGCAGCATTATGCCGACCTGCATGGCATTCCTGCCTTGTGAGACAACAAGAACATGAGGGCTTCCAAGGAAACTAATAAAAGTGTTTCCTACCCGGCCGTGATGTAGATGTCTTTGTCTGAGGAGTGAAGAACCTAACGCAGCCATAGCTGCTGGCCAAAATACACTAATATTGCCAAAGGAGCGAGACTGAGGGTTCAACCAACTATGGAGTGCATTTAATACTTAGGATTGATTCTCAATAGAAAAGGAAAGCTCATATGTTAAGCTTATTAGTGTTCCTTATAGTCGCAATCCCATTGGTCAGTTGACAATGGGACGAGCACGTAATGCTGCGCATCATGACCAATACAGTGAGCGGCTCTCGGAGAAGCCACGGAAGCGGAGCCCAATCTAATGCACTTTATCGACAATCACACATAATAGTTGTTTGTACCGCCCATTTAAAGATTCGTTGCCCTGGATTGGTCCGTCGTGTGTCAACGCGCCGACGTTGGGTCGCCGTACGTTGCAACCTGAGGGGGTGAGGTTGGCATCTCTTCCCACCCATGTTTCCCAGGGTTGCACCTGTGTTGAACTATTTGGAGCTCGTCTTACAGGTGCCTAACAAAGCTCACTGCTCAAAGGTTACTAGCACCCATTCTTGTCAGTTATTTGCCTTGCTTGCCCATTATTGCCTGGTGTCCAACGGGGCAGGTGATGGTGGACATGTAGAGTCCACAGCTCCCCTGACACAGCTCCCCTGCTGTGACTGGGATGACTCGACCTCGTGGCGGAAATCCATCACTTTCCGCCACGTGCACGCACATCCATCGTCCTGCCACTCGTGGTTAACGGAATGAGGGGCCCCAGTGCATGCTCTGGGAGGAAAACACCAAATCGCTCAACGCGTGCTCTAATCAAACACTGGATTGTCCTGCTGTCAATCCCGCATACCCTTCATCTCAGTGTTGCGTGCTAAGGCTCCCCTTAACAATCCGAGAAAAGGTCTCTGAAGTGCCCTTGCTGCGCTGGTAAAAAAACACAGGTTGTGCCTGTGCATTCGGGTTGCATACCGCCCAGGATTAGAATTAGGGGCTGCCGCCGGTGTGAGGGGGCGAATATGAGGGGGCGAGTATGAGGGGTTATGGGATTGTCCTGACCTGAGGGGATGTAGAAGGTCGCTGTTGCAACACAACGGCAGATGGAGTATGGGGTAAGGTCAAGCTGATGACCGTTGCTTGCTGTGGTGCTGCATGAAACGGACAGGAGTAGACGGCTGCAAAGAGCCCGAGAGGTCTTGGACACTTGTTTGGGAATGGCATATTGGAGGTGCAACACAGAAGATTAGATGGTCGTTGAGGAGGACATGCGGGTACTATTGCGGCGGAGCTGGCAGAGCCCCTGCACCTGCGCAGTGTTTCGACACGTCCGGTCGCATGTACGACAAAGCACGGCAGGAGTGCGTGCGTGCCTGCTGGCACAGGATGAAAAGGCAATTCGCGGATTGTCGTCTGAGTAGGTGGTGCTGACTTCTCTGGCTGGGTTTCCTGTCGACCCTTGTTGCTGGGCTTGACATAGGTAATTGGACTTTTAAGTCCAGGAGAGACTCCGATGAAAACTGATTTTGCCGCCTTACTGCCCTTATTAGCAGCAGCACAGAGGCGGGAGATCGTTGGTTTGATAAAAGAGCTATACTGGACGTGGCACCTCATATGTGGCCATACCGACAGCGGTTGGAGAAACAAATGGAGCGGGCTGGCCTTACCTACGACTGACTACCCAGGATATCGGCTACAATTCAGGCGCACACACTACTACTGGGTAACCTTGCAACAAGGCCGCTGATCATGGGCGCAACGTGGCACCCTCTGAGCCTCTGACATTCGCGCGAGAGTTGCCGTGAAAGACAAGCAGTGGGGGGGTTCTGTGCTCCTGTCTCCCTTGACCGTATTCTCGTGGCTCTCCTCACCCCAGCCCTGCTACCCAAACCGTGCGTGTTCCTTCTTCACACCGATCCTAGGTTTCTTGCTCTCACAGTGCAATGCAGTTGTACTTTGAAGTGCGGCCGTGGTTTGCTGCTGCTGCTCTGGGTTGCAGCAGCCTTGGTGAAACTTGTGTTAGTGCACCTGAATCACGGCATGTGCTTTGCCAAGCTCCCATGGGCATATTACCCCAAAAGCCTCACATCCCAAAGCTCATTCTTATTGCATTGCCTAACGGTTGCACGCTGGGTGGGGACCACACGGGAAGTCGTGTCGATTTGCAGTATCCTGTAGGGCTTATCACGGGATCTGCATCCGCCGATCGGTACTTTTTTTTATAGGTGTAAAATACACAGTCACGTGATGCTGATGTGGCTGGCCGTGTGGGTGTGAATGCTAGCAAGCTTGTGTAGCACACTATGCGGGTACACACGTGTAACATACCCCAAAGAATACATTTTGATTTAGCTGTGAGGTGAATACACAGGAGGGGGTCTTCCATGTCACCCAGGTTATTGAGGTGCACATTGCTGGTGCTGGTGGCCCTTGACCCGCTGCTGGGGAAGTCATCCACATGGCCACATGACCTCAGGCACGGTGACGGCTGTACCTGGCACAGTTTGACCACCAGCCCGTGCCTGGTTCCATAGCTAATGCTCATGCTAAACCTGGCCCCATTTGTGAGGTGGGGCAGCCCTCCCTGGTGTAAGGGGCGACGATCGCAGCATTGGAAGATGGGCTCCACCTGCTATACGATCGTCGTATACGATCGTAAAATTGTACTTCATACACTGCGTTGCCAGAGGTAGCAACACAGGGTATGATAACAACACGTGATACCAGTTGGCGGTATGTATGTCCACCACTGCCTAATTGACCGGTGAAGGGGTGGTTACGCTGGAGCCCCAAACTAGCTCCTCCCAAACTAGCTCCTCCGGGATAGCAATTCGAAATCCAACGCTCATCGAGATTCTTATCCGGACTCAGCCACAAAACAATCCTTCAATGTTATCTGATCAGGTCGTGCTGGCCGGCGGAATCCCAACAGTGTGGCACGATTCCCCCATGCTTATTAGTGGGTTTCGGAGCACAGGCTCAAAGCGGCCCGGTGGCGTCGGTGGGTGCTGCCAGCAGTGCTATCGCGGTGGGCAAGGGTATGTGAGTGTGTTGCATGTTGCATTCCCGGGGAAGCCCGATTCTCACGTCGCCCTATGCCACACCAAGAGCTTGGGCCATATGAAAGAACAATATCCACTAGCGCACCTCCTTGGATTTCTCTGAATATGCGATGTACAGAGCCGTGCCGTATCGCGGACCGTAAAGTTCACTGATCTGCTATGTGTGTACGTGCCTGTATAAAGCCTTTTCGGCGCCCAGACGCCTTACGCCTCCATGGAGCCGTAGTCGATGGCCCGGCACGGACCCGGCGGCAAGGGTGGCTACCTCCATAGGATGGTATCTGGATGATAGGCTTCTAGCAGTCTGTCAGACGACTATCTCCAGCATGTACTTTGCACGTGGCAAGGAACAGCACACGGCAAAGAGCGCAGAACAGCATCAGTTTGTCCCTTGCCCAAGCCCCCATGTATGCTATGCTGCGGCCTCGTGGTGCCCTTTGCAGCTGTGGTGCCCTGATAGAACCCCAGGTGTTTGCTGCTCTAGGGCATTTTGTTTCGTCCAGTACTGCCATGCCATCTGCGAACATTATTATTCATGTTTATATGGAGCGCGTATACACCTAAGCTTTCGCGGAAAGCAGGTAGGAGAGGCTAACCTGACGCCGCACGTCTCCAAAATAGTCCCGCACGCTAAACGCAGGTTAGATACTTACAGTTATACTCCCAGAGTACATTACTGGATAAACTCCCGTAGTATTTTGCGATAATCGGCTTCGCCGTACAGTTTGTCTCAGGCTTCATCCTAGCCTATCCAAGCATAAACAAAAATCGTCTGGAAACATAGCCCCATCCGCCAAATTGAAACCAAAATCGACCATCTCTGCGGAATGCTGACAAGTCAGCTCACGTAAACATGGTCTTATGTGTTTAAAATAATAGAGAGCAATAAATAAGATGATCAATGGGGTTACCATACATATTCCGTCACGACTGAAGCCAGCGTGAGGGTCGTACCGCAATAGACATGCGGATGTGCGCAGCAAGGCGATAACAGGAGTACAAGGATCTGAAGACATGACGCGTTATCCCTGCCTAGCCTAGGACTCAATAGCTACTATGAGTAACCTAAATCCCAACATGTCAAGCTAAAATGTCGGAGTAACTACATACTGGTGGGCGAACACATTACGGTGCCCACCTAGCATGGAGCAGCAGGGTTTATTGGCTGGAACACTTGGATGACCCGCACTTGAGCTATTACGGAGACTACAGCTGAAGGCGGACGGGAGGAAGCGCAATGGAGGGCCTGGGGTCGGGCATCAGCGGGCCTCTGCGACTGGCAACAAAGGCCAATTGGAAACTTGGGGAAAACCTGGCGCTGTCCCACCTATCCGCTTTGCCTGAGTTGCCTCAAAACAACGCCGATGACTACCGGCTTCAGCAATTGCAGTATGCAATGCATTTGGACAGCTCCATGATAACCTACACACCGGACATCGGCGTGCTAAGAAATGGCGATCAGGAGCAGGTTGCCAGCCGCTTTGACGACAGTAGGAATGTCAAGCGCAAAATCTTCGTCAACAAAGAGGTGCGACCGCGGGTACTTCCCTTCCTGGCCTTCCCTTCCTGGCCTTCCCTACCTGAGGGCTCCAGAGCCCCGGGGGAGATGTTAGCGTCGCCAACAGTTCGTGACCATCCCCGGAGGCAGGGCTGGGATGCAGTTGACAAAATGCGCGTTCACGTGTGTGTTTGGGGCGGGGGGGGAAAACAGCACGCTACCCATCCATTCGTTGTGTGAGGAGCGGAGCATTTCATGCTCATCACACCTCCATAAGCCCCACATGCTCAATATGAGAACCTGCGTATGTACGACCCTCTCCCCCGCGCCCCTCCCCCAACGCCGTAGAACCCCCGGCGCCGTGCCCCTTGCATCATTATCACCATTCCGGTGGTGAAACACAACCCAAATCCAAAATCCAAAATCCAAAAAAAGCCCTCCATGTACGAATACGGAGTGAGGGGCATCTGTATATTTGTGGCATCCTTAAGACTGGCCGCTGGTGTCTCCCCGCCATTTTTTTCCGGAGCGAAGCCATAAGACCCATATGGCACGGCCACATCATTTTGCCCGTCACTCACTTTGCAAATTGCGGCACCAGGTCCTGGAGCGGTTGGTGTCGGTTGCGGAGGAGCTCAATAAGGCCCAGGCGCAAATTGAAATCCGGAAGGTGCTCAAACGCGAATACAAAAGGTGCGCGTCTGTGTCTATGTCTGTACGCGTGTGTGCATACGTGTGTGTGTGTGTGTGTGTTTGTGGAATGTCTGTATCATCTAGGGCTATTCGATTACTCGATAGGGAAATGGAGCGGAGGTCGAGCTGTCCAACTCTAACAAGGGAGGGGCCCTGACCGAAAGCAAATCCGGATTTAACAATGCCATACCAGGACGCAAAATCGTTGCTGTACACCGGAAAACCTCCATGGCCACATAGCCAGTGTAGTACCGCAGTGTACGGCGTAAGGGGGGAGCTGCGGGGTGTATTTAATCATCATGTCGGTGGCCCCAACCCGTTTGTGTTTTGTTCCCGCACCTGCACCCCCACCTCCCCGCCACCTCCCTGAAGAACCACCTAGGCGAACTCAGTGGGCAGCCAAAGAAGTGAAACCCGCCTGTAGGGCTCCCTAACCGCCAACCGCCAACCTCCCAGTATCCATCACCTCACATCTGCGTCATTGCGATCTTGTGGGGGCATTACGTGGGTGACAGAGCGGTAGCCGTACGGGTCCGCACCCGTAAACCCATCCGCAAGTCCACCACTGTGTATGTATGTATGTATGTTGTTATAGGGTGGTAAAGCTTCACCAGCGGCCCCCTTTCCCTTGGAGGCAGTTCCATGCTCTCCCCTGCGAGAGGGGCACCCTAATCCATTCACCCCATCCGATTTCAGAATGTATTCGTTGAGTTCAGCAACTCACCACCAGCATCCAACCAAATCTAGCGGATCAACGGCGCCTCAACTTGTATGTGTGTGCGTGTGCGTGTGTGTGTTTGCTGCGCTGATGTCGTACCGCTAGGACGATGGCCGAGCAGCAGCAGCAGCCCCTGCCCGGCGCGGACCAGTCTTGGTTGGCGGAGCTGATGGCGGGACTGGAGGTGGAAGGCACGGTGGGTATCGTACGGGTACGGCACGGTGTGGAAGCCATGGGCCCCGGTCACGCGCTATAGGGTGCGTGTACCCCCACGTACATACATACATACTGTCGTACTTCCCATTCGGGCGCCCTCTGCGGTCTGTGTTGTGTGGTTGTTACAGTGTGTGATTACGTTCTATTGGGTGGTTGGGAAAAATAGGGTGAAGTAGTGGTCTGTGAAGAGATGAAGGGATGAGTACTCTCTCTCTCTCTCCCCCTCTCTCTCTCCCTCTCTCTTAGGCAGGCAGGTGGGTAGGTAGGGGGTGCGAATATGAAAGGCGGAAGGGGGGGGTGGGCGTCGGCGGATGTTGCTGCTTCCACCGTTTGTGCTCTCTCTCCCTCCCGCTGTGCTTTTCTGCGTATCTGTGTGTTTCGTGCTGTGGTTTGTGTTTGTGTGTAACCCGCTCCCGGGTCCGGGTGGGCTGGGGTGGGGTCGCAGGGGGAAGAGGAAGCGGCGGCGGGCGGAGCGGCAGCAGGGAGCAGGCGCCCTGGGGGACGTACGACAAGGCGGGCGGCGAGCGTGTATCGCATGGCGCAGGTGAAGGGGGGGGGGCGGGTGGGGAAGGGGCTCGGGGGCTTCGGGTTTTCGACAGAGGCGGGTGGGGTGAGGATGGAGGTGGGCATATGGGGGTGTCGTTCGGGGAGCGCAGGATGAGCCCCCCGGTGGGGCTTAGTTCCTTTCGGTTTGTGTGTAAACCGGACGCAGGCAACCTAGGGAGCTGATGTCGTTTGTGAGCGCGCGTGTGTGTGTATGTGCGTGTGTTTGTATGTGTATGTATCGTGACACATCGATCCGGGCCTGATGCTGGGGGCAGGGGCACCTAACCGTACCCCAACGGAAACAACCGCCCAAGCACTCCCACCTTAGCTGGAGGAGAGGGGCGTGAGGTAGGGTTGTGTGTGTGTGCGTGTCATAGGTAAAGTGCGCCGCGAGAAGTAAGGTGGGGTAGGAGAAGTCACATCGTGCCCCACCCCGTGCCCCACCCCGTGCCCCACCAACATGCGTTCAGTGATGGAGTGGAAGAAGGCGGAAATAGCCATTCGGTGAACTGATCCATTTGATAATGTGTGCGTGTGTATGTATGTATGTATGTAGGTCCGGTGTCCCGCGGTGCTCTCCTCCGTGCCGCCCAAGGACCGTTGGGGATACTTCCGGGCCATGCAGCGCCTCATGCCCGCCGCCAACGGTGTACGGCCGGGGCACATCGCGTTTGGAACCTACGCGCCAGGGGGGCCCGTGGCGGCGGCGGCGGCGGCGGCGGCGGCGGGTACTCGGATGCGGCCGCGGGCTAACGGCGCCGCCGCGATGAAGGTGCGAGAGATGCACCGGGAAACAAATGGTTGGGGGTTGACTGGCGGTTGACGGTTAGGAAAGCTGGGCAAGTGGAGAGGGGCGAAATTGACACGCCCTAGACCGGTAGATCTGCGGCGGGGGATGGGCTGATGGGGCGGCAACAGCAGCAGCAGCAGCAGGAGGAGGAGGTGGGTGGTGTGGGGGACTTGGGGAAGGGGGGGGG